CTGGAGCACCTTGAGGTCCCATAGCATCGATCTCAGCCTGGAGCACCGCAGCTCCCCACGTTCCCGTTATTATTGGCATCACTGTGTGCAGACCCAGACGTCTGTGCAGCCTCTGGTGGTGCTGTGATGCTCTGCCCCGTGCCGTGCAGGACAATACGGCTGCACAGCGAGCGCGTCCCTCTCCTCCCATTTCATTTCCATTTCAACCTGACGCCGTTTCATCTCGTCAAATATCCCCGTGCTTCCTCCTACATCCTGTTAGTGTCCTCCCGACTCCGCTTTGCCTCCAGCCGACACAAATCTCCCCTTCTCACATCTCCTCGTCTGCACGCTCCCCCCAGGCCTCCAATTATCCCCTCCATCCATCTCTGCAGCTCCTTTCGCTCTCCCTCCGCTGTTCCAAAACGGAATTGTGGAAATGGGGCATGGCACTGCAGCTGGAGGACCTCAGCGGTGGGCTGGAGCTGCAACGCACCGCTTTCCTCCCCGCGTCCATCTTTCAGCTCCTTCCTGATGTCGTGTGTGGCAGCTCACGCCTTCCCAGGAATCGTTTGTGCTCGAGGGGACAGGAGGCACCGAGAAGCCCTGAGCCACATCCTTCGGTGCAGGCAAGCACCCAAAGCTCCGTGCCACGGTCCCTCCCCAGTGCGCAACCCAACTGCAGTGTGCGCTGCTCCCAGCAATGGGAAGCGGAGCTTTTTGGATGGGATGCAGCAACACTGAGAGGCACTTCCCCCTTGGAAAAAGGTTGGGCGTAAGAAGTGTGGAATTGAGCAGCAGAGCTGGTTTGGGAGGTTCCCCCAGTGCCACCACAGGGCTGCTGTGAGCTTTGGCACGGCACTGACTGTTGAGAGTCTCCTTATCTGGCTCTGGAGCTTCAGTAGAGCGTGGCATTGCCCGTGAGCCTCTGTACAGCACAGCCACACACAGAATCTCTCCTTGCATGGCTGCAGAGTTTTGGCACAGCACGGCACTGCTCACAGGGCCCCTCCTCGTCCATCTGCAGAGCTCTGGCACGGCACAGCACTGCCCATGAGCTTTGGCACAGCACAGCCATCTGCTGGGTCCCTCCTTTCCTGGCTCTGGAGCTTTGGCACCGCACAGCACTGCTTGCAAACTCCAGCACAGCACAGCACTGCCCACAGGGCCCCTCCTCGCCCATCTCCAGAGCTTTGGCACAGCACGGCGCACAAGCTCCGGTACAGCACTGCCCACGAGCTCTGGCACGGCACTGACTGTCCACGAGCTCCAGCATGGCACTGCCCACTCCTCCCTCACCGTTCCAGGGTCTGAGCACACGCTCGTTGGCCAGGCACGCTCGCGGGGGAGCACGGAGATCAGGCAGAGCCAGGCAGGTCAGGAAGCGCACGCAGGGCCGCGCACACACACACACACACACACACACAGAGTGATGAGTGAAGGAGCCGTCTGCCAGCAGCACATTCTGCAGCACTTTTCTCTCTTGGCTAATCAGCTACTGAAAGAAGAGCTCCCTGCGCCCGGCCAGCGCTCGCCCCCCGCCCGGCTCAGCTGCGCTGCGGAGGAGGGAAGTGGGCTTGGAACGGCCGCCGCGCTCCGAGGAGCACTCAGCGCTCCTTCATTCATTATCCACTGACATATGGAATAGTCATTGTGGGAGGAAACAGAACCAAACAAAAGCCCCAAACTGCTTCCTCCCAGCGAGGCCCTGACAGCCGCGGCAGCTCGCGGCCATTCATCTCCGTGCCGAGCGCCGGGGGGAGCGCCGGCACCGCGGGCACCCGCACTGCTGTGCCACCGGGAGCCCCGCAGGCACCGCGGGCTGAGCACCCGGCCAGGAAACCGCCGGGGTTTTGTTGTGTCTCTGCTCGGAGCTCACGGCACAGCGGCCGGGCGCGCGGCCAGGAGGAGCTGCCAAGCGAGCGGGAGCGCGGGGCAGCGCGGGGCCATTACTCTTTATTAAGGAGCTCGGAGCCCCCGCGCAGGCGCTGAGTGACAGCAGCACGGCTCTGGGCGCTCCGGGGGCACCGTGGGATGTTTTCCCAGCCGTGCTGCTTGTGGGGTCGGCTGTGGGCACAGCGATGGGTCGGACGGCGGCAGCCCCACGGGGGGGGGAGCGGTGCCGTAGCATCGCCCGGTGTCGGGCAGCCACCTGCAGGTGACAAGGTGCAGCAGGGCTGACTCTACCTCGACTTGGTGTATGGTGTCCCTGGGCACCCGGTGCTGGGGGCGATGGATGGGGACACCGCTCCCGCAGCTCCGTGGGGGGAAATGGGGAGGGATGGCCCGCTGTCCCAGCGCAGCTGCAGGCGCTGTGCCCACATCAACACTCGTTGCCATGCTTTCCCGAGGGCTGCACAGGGGTGGGTGTGGGATGGGAGCCCCCCGGTGCATCCCGTTCATTCACCGTTTGCTCCCAATGCCTGCGGGTGCGATGGGCTGAGCCCCATCTGCAGGGCCCTCAGGGGCTGCGTGCAACCTCCAGTATCTCTTTTGAGAGCACCGCGGTCCTTTGAGGGGGATGAGGCCGCTCATTAATAAGGATGAGCTCACGCATTCATTAGAACGACGCTACGGAACAGAAGCTGGGGGTCTCAATGAAGAAAAGATAAGGAGAAATGGAAGATAACGGCCCCTGCTGCAGCACGGAGGGACGAAGCCGGGGCAGCGCGGGGCGACGAGCGCAAAGCGGCCACAGGAAGCAGCAGCAGCACCGGGGATCTTCTGGAGGAGAGATAAATACAATCGCAGAGGGCAGGGGGCTGGGAGCGGGGAGCAGGAACAAAGCCACTGGAAGCTGCTCTGATGTCAACAGGTTCTGAATCAGCTCTCCCCCCACGGGGGCCCTGCACCGGGACCGGCTGGGGAGGGGGGAGACCTCGGATTCCTGCATGAAAGGGTTTTTTTTCCTGGGTTATGCTGGAGACATTACACAAGTGTATGTTTTCTATAGTCATATATTTCCCCTCTCTCTAAATCTCTATTCCAGACCCGGGGGCTGCCGGCAGCTCCAGCGCCAACCCAGGTGGGCCTCCAGCGTCCAGCCCCGGGGCACGGTGTGCTCCAGGCCCCCCTCGTGTCTCCAGAGCCAGGGCTGAGGCCTTTCACTGGCTGCAGGGCCCAGGAGCCGCTGTGCTGGCGCTCAATGCCCCGCTGCACCACACCGTGCCTTCATACACCGCCACGATACACCGCACAGTTCTGCAATACGCCGTGCCACAGAATCACAGAACGTAGCCCAGCTTGGAAGAGATCTGTAAGGATCCGTTAGATCCGTAAGGATCTGTAAGAGCACCTCCCCTACGAGGACAGGCTGAGGGAGTTGGGCTTGTTCAGCCTGGAGAAGAGAAGCTGCGGGGTGACCTCATGGCAGCCTATCAATACCTGAAGGGAACCTACAGCCAGGAGGGGAGTCAACTCTTGAAAAGGGCTGACAACAGCAGGACGAGGGGAAATGGATCCAAGTTGAAGGAGGGAAGATTGAGGTTGGATGTTAGGGGGAAGTTCTTTACAAGGAGAGTGGTTGGGCCCTGGAACGGGCTTGGTGGCCCGTCTGGGCAGGGGTTTTGGAACTACATGATCCTTGAGGTCCCTTCCAACCCGGGTGATTCTGTGATTCTGTGATCATCAAGTCCACTCCTGGCAACTGGGCTACGAATACTCGAAATGGGACCGTGCACTCTCAAAATAGGGCCGTAAGACCTCAAAAAAGGATTCCGAGCCCTCAAAATGCCCTGATGTACAACACCACGGCCCGACATACCGCGCCATTCTGCAATACACCTTGCCATGCCCCGATATACCGTGCCACAGAATCAGGGAATGTATCCCGACTTGGAATGGACCCATAAGGATCATTGAGTTCAACTGCTGGCAATAGTGGTAGGACTTAAGATGGGGCCGTGATCTCCCCAAATTAGGGCCATAAGCCCTCAAAATGGGGCTATGAACCCTCAAAATGTCCCAAAACATTACGCCATGTTCCAACGTACCAGACCATGCCCCAGTATACCACACCATGTCCCGATATACCATATCACAGAATATATCCCGACTTGCAAGGGACCCGTAGGGATCATGAAGTTAATTTCCTAGCAATGGGGCTAGGAGTTCTCAAAGTAGGACTGTGATCCTTCAAAAAAGGGCCATAAGCCCTCAAAATGGGGTTCTGAGCCCTCAAAACGCCCCTTATACCACGCTGCACCCCGGTATATCGCACCACAGAATCAGGGAACGTGTCCCAACTTGGAAGGGACCCATCAGGATCATCAAGTCCAACTCCTGCCAATGGGATATGAGTTCTTAAAATGGGCCCACGATCTCTCAAAATAGGTCAGTAAGCCTCAAAATGGGGTTTTGAAGCCTCCGAATGCTCCAATGTAGCACGCTGCGCCCCAATATAGCAGGCTGCACCCCAATATAGCAGGCTGCACCCCAATATAGCACACTGCACCCCAATATAGCAGGCCGTGCCCTCAAAGCTCACCAAAGGCCCTCAAGCTGCCCCCACAAACCTGTCCCAGCACCTTCCAGTGAACCCAGAGCCCGGCAATAGGGCCAGACCGAACGCCCCCGCGCGCTTGGCGCTCACCCCATCCCGACCCCAGGGCTCTGCAGGAGCAGCTGATTTGCGCCAACGGCGTTAATTGATTTAGCAGACGATTAAGAAAGGCAATGAAGTTGGTCTGGAACGAGCCAAGCCAAGGAGCATTCTGCGGCCCGGCATCCTGCTGCCTCTTGCACAAGCAGTTTCCAACCTCCCGCGCCAGGCACTGCGAGCGCTGCGCTCCATCACCAGCCCCCCCCGGCCCCGCTGGGTGCCAGCAGCGAGCTGCAGGGTGGGCAGCCCCCCTTCACACCCAGCGTCCTTTGACCCAACGTCCCTCCCTCTGGGTTTGCACGGAAGACGACGCAGCAAGAAATCCACCAGCCCTATGTTGCATCCACAAGTTGGCAGGCGGTCCTACCTCCTCATCCGAGCTGTCCTCCACGTACTCATCCGGAACGCTCAGACCCTCGCCATCCTTTGGAGGGGGATCAGCCCCCAGGGCTTTGCTCTTCCTGGGAGCCCCTTTGACCTGAAAGAGAAGAAAGCAGCTCAGCAAGGGCCCGCCACGTGAACCTTTGTGCTTTTGGGTTCGCGCCGCGCAGCGCTCACGGCTCCTCGGGGACGGCGCATTACAGGGAAGGAAGGAAGGAAAGAAAGGGCTCATTAAGCGCCGCGCACTTCTGCTCATCTGGGACCACGAAGACAGAAAGTTCATCAGCCCCCGTCTGAGGACGGGCTGCCGAGCCGCGCTCTGACAGCTGCTCAGCTCACAGCGCCGCATTCCCACTCACTGTGCTCACAGCCTTTCCTGTCTCGGCTGCTTCCCCAGCCTGGCTATGCCCAGAGCAGATCTCAGAGCTCTGCACAGCCCCTCTCTGCTCACATGAGCTCGGTGCCACCCGATGAACCTGGGGGGAAACAGCCCTGAATTGTGGGAAGAGCGCGGACGCAACGCCCTGCAAGGTGTGCGGAGGGCCAAGGGTGAGGTGCTGCGAGGTGCTGCGAGGTACGAGTGCATGGAAGCTCTGCAAACGCAGACTGTGGAAAAACAGATGCTGGGAAGGGTTTCTGGAGGTCTCTGCTCCAGTAAAGCCAGCTTCCAGGCTCCATCAGGGCGCTGAGCGCTGCGTTTGGTGATGCATTTCCCATTTCTCCGTGGATGGAGACCTCATCGCTGCCTGGGTGCCATCCCAGAAATCCACCAGGACAAGAGCTCCTTCCTCACCTCCATCCAAGGATTCCCCTTTTGCTCTGCCCCCTGTCCCTGGGCAGGACAACAGCCTGGCTGCCTCTCCCTGCCAGCTCAGCCCTTGTGCCCTCTGTCCCTGCACCAAACCAGGTCCTCAAATGGACCCAGAGCACGGATGGCGCACTGAGGTGCCACCCTCATCCCTGTTGGCAGGCAGGCTCTCGCTGTGCCCAACACGAGGTCGGTGTTGCCGTGGACACCTGCAGCCCCCCAGTTCACCTCTCCTGAGCTGCTTCCGTGAACTGAACCCCACTCAGGTCAGTTCTGAGCCCAGTGTGGGATGTGCTGCCCCTGAGCTCCACCAGGCGCCCGCCAGCCCTACCCTGCACTGCTCCGACTGCTCCCCGTGGCTTAGAACAGATCTTCTTAGGAAGGAATTCTTTACTGTGAAGCCGGTGAGATACTGGAGCAGGTTGCCCAGAGAGGCTGTGGATCCCACCATGGAGGTATTGCAGGCTGGATGGGACTGTGAGCAACCTGGTCTGGTGGGCAGTGTCCCTGGCTACAGGAGAGGTGGGTGGAAATAGATGGTCTGAAAGATCCCTTCCAACCCAAACCATTCCACGATTCGATGACGAGTCTACGATCCCAGGTACACACAGAGCCAGCAGAACCTCTCCCCACCTGGCAGCACAAGGGCAGGGCTCACTGGATCAGCACAAGGGCCGCCTCGCCCTGCCCCACACACAGGTCCTTTCCTACAGATGGGCTCTGCCAAGGCTCTAGCTTACACAGAGTGCTGGAGATGGGCGCACAACGCACTGGGGGTCAGCAGAGCACACAGCAATCTCAGCTGCCAACCCAAAATCACAGAGGCCTCGATGGACTGAGGGCAGCAATGGGGCAGCACGAAACCAGCCTCACCCCGGGCACTGGGCACTGCGAGAGGCTGCTCTGCCCCGAGGGCACTCCACTTCTTTTCCATCCTCCTTTTTTCTTCATTTCTTTTCCCTTCTCCATTTCTTCTCCCCTCCAGCACCCGCACTGGGCAGAACGCCTCCGGCAGCGTGAAACCAACCTCACTCCAGGCACCACAAGCAGCTGCTCTGCCCCGAGCGCACTCCACTTCTTTTCCAACCTCCATTTTTTTCTCCATCTCTTTTCCCTTCTCCATTTCTTCTCCCCTCCAGCACCCGCACTGGGCAGAACACCTCTGGCAGCAGCACGGAGCTCGGGGCCACGGCACGGAGAACCTTTCCCTGCAGCGCCGGGACGGCCCCGAGCGCCGCGTGGGTGCGAGGAGCCGGCAGCTCCTTCCCTGGAAAAGAGATTCGCTCCCCCATCGATGGGGCGGGGGGTGGGGGGGGGGGGGGCCCGGGGACCCTGGTGAGATCGGGTTTACGGGAGGATTCGGTGCAATAATCGCAAAAGCAGCCCCGGCAACGTCCCTCGTGGGAGCCGTAAAGTCCGCGCAGTGTGCGATCACCTTCTGCTGTGCGCGGGGAGAGGGGTGGGAGAGCGCCTGGAAAATCCCGGCCCGGCAAGAGGATGAGATTACTGCAAAAACAAAGGGCTTTATTAAAAAATTTAAAAAAAAAAAAAAAAAAGAAAAAAAAGAAAAAAATAAAAAGGGAGATTGGAGATAAGTTTTTTTCCAGGCGTTTGGCGCTGCAGTGGCTTTGGCCGCTAGTTTCCATCTCTCCCTCTCTCCTTCCCCCTCTCTCCCTCACCGCGATGCGCCGCGGTTCCGCGGGGGCCCCCAGGCACAGAGCTGTGCCCAACTGCTCTGCCCTACTCTGCCATCAGGGTGGGCACAGAAGGACCCCCTGAATACGGCACAAAGGCAGAAGCGGCCCGCAGCCCTGGAAGGAGCTCCGTTCCCAGCACTGCTACAGCTGATACCTGGGAAACGACAAAACCCTCACTATTTTGACCCCAAAAGTCCATCTGAAGCAGACGGAGGGGCTCGGGAGGAGCGCAGACACGCTCCATTTGCTCCAGGCACACCGCACTCCTCTCTGCTCCCCCCGGTTTGCTTCCAGATCCCTGCAGCTGAGATCGTTCCACCAGAGGGCAGCAAGCAGGACGGACCCGCTGCCGAAGCCAACAAAATAAACCCCAAATGCTCCCCCAGCGCCACAGCACAGCCACGGCTCGGGGATGGGGGCACAGAGCTGCATCCCATCGGGCTGGGATGCTGCCCAGGGACGTGGGGGTGTCACCATTCCCAGAGGTGTGACACTGGAGGACACGGGTGGGGGGTAATATTGGTGCAGTTTGCCGGTGAGCCCCAAGCTGAGCGCTGTGGTTGATTCAATAGAAGGGAAGGATGGCATCCAGAGGGGACTGGGGAGGTGAGGAAGGGGCTCACGGGAACACAGCGAGGTTCAATAAGGCCAAATGGGCGGTGCTGGGTTCAAGGAAATGCCAGATTTGGGCACAGAGCGGGGCTGATGGAGAGCAGCCCTGAAGGAAGGACCTGAGGGTCCTGCGGAGGACAGCTGATGAGGCAGCAGCGTGTCTGTACAGCCCAGAGACCAACTGAATCACGGCCGATAAAGAGAAGAGCACAGGCAGAGAGCAACACAACACAGGGGAATGGCTTCAACCCGACAGAGGGCGGGTTGGGGTCAGACGTGGGGAAATCCTTCACCCAGAGGCAGTGCAGCCCCAGCACTGCTGCCCGGAGCTGTGGGTGCCCCAGCCCTGGAGGTGCCCCACGCTGGGGGTGGGCACTGGGCAGCCTGAGCTGGGGGGCAGCCAGCCCACGGCAGGAATGGGGCTGGGGGGTCCCTTCCATCCCAACCATTCTGTGGTTCCGTAGTCTTTAAGGATTCTTCCTGTCCAACGATTCCATGGCTCTGTGATTCTTAAGGACCCTTCCAACCCAACCACTCCACAGTTCTATGACCTTTCAAGACCCTGCCAACGCAACCCATCCCATCCCATCCCATCCCATCCCATCCCATCCCACAGCTCCATGATCTTTAAGGACCCCTCCAACCCTACCCAACCCAACTCAACCCATGGTTCTATCATCTTTAAGGACCCTTCCAACCCTACCCCAACCCAACCCAACCATTCCATGGTCCTACGACCTTTCAAGACCCTTCTAACCCAAGCCAATCCATCCCACAGCTCTATGATCTTCAAGAACCCCTCCAACCCTACCCAACCCAACTCAACCCATGGTTCTATCATCTTTAAGGACCCTTCCAACCCTACCCCAACCCAACCCAACCATTCTATGGTCCTACGACCTTTCAAGACCCTTCTAACCCAACCCATCCCATCCCACAGCTCTATGATCTTTAAGGACCCCTCCAACCCTACCCA